GTATATATATATATATATATATATATATAAAGATTTTGAAGAATAGGGATGCTGATTTAGAGAAAGAAAGTTATTCAAATATTATGAACAAAATTTTGAAAATTGTACAGATTTTTAGTGTATGTGACATTGGCATAGTTAAAACCTATACACAAATATAAGTAAAATTTTTAGGGTTTTAACTTTATGATTATATTTTAATCTTTCAAAGATACGTGTTTTTAAACTTGCTGGAAAAAATTAGGAACTTTAAGAATCGAATGAGTAAGTCCTAAATCATTCTTACGTGTTATTTATTCCAATATTTAGCCTGGAATATAAGTGACCAGTTTGTAAGAGTTTGTTCACTTTCTTTATAGTTACCTGGTATCAGCCTCACAAGATGGCAAACTAATCGTGTGGGATGCGTTTACAACAAACAAGGTACGACTGAAGAAGCTGAGATTGTTTGCTCTTCTCCATTATCATACGACAAAAATCTTTTAACGAAAGCTTAACTATTGTTACTTCTCTACTTATTTTTTTCTATAAATATAGGTGTTTCAGTGTTATAAAATTCTAACTGTATTATTTTCGAAGGTTTCTAATGCAGCTTATAAGCGTTTCTGTGTGTGCGTTTACATTCCTTATAACGCTTTGTATAATTAGAAATTAATTATTCAACTTAAAGAACTATTTGTTTGACAGTATACCAAGAAGAAACTCTGAACTCAAACTGTAAAGCTAAAAAAAAGATAGTTGTGAGAGTAGTATATGGTGTACGAGATTGTGTGAAAAAGTGTCAAAAACTTAACATAGAACAGAACTTTTTATCAAGCAGATATAAAACAAGTAAGTTAAATATATATATAACTCATGAAAGAAAGGAAAAAAATAGCCTTCTTAACTATTTGTTTTGGCCTTCTCTAAAAAAGTTTAGCTTACAATAAAGAATTATTATTCAATGTGTTAGAACAGATGCATCACTTGTACCTATGCTAGTCATAAAAATACACAACAGTAAGTCACACATTGCTTATTTAGGTCAGATGCTTTGTTGCTTTTCATCATTCTGACTTTTTAGCAAGGTGTTAATTAAACCATTGAAATAAAGACTTCATACGAGGCTAAGAAACTAAAAATCTTTTGTCCTACATATGAAACACTGTTCAGCTGATAAAAGACTATTATTATTATTATTATTACAAAGTTTAAAAATAAAAAAAAAGTTAGAAAGTTTATCCGTGTACACTGGTGGGCGTCAAAGTGCACATGACCTTCTACAGTTTCATTCAACATGGTATTATATATTTGGTTTCAGGATTATCAGCTGTTCATTTTACCATACACTGCTGATTTAACAACAGCTCTTGGTAGGGGAGAGTAAATACCATATACAGTGTACAGGGATACTGAAGAAAACAATAGATATGTATTTTGGGAGTTCTAGAAGTTATGCAAATACAATATGCAAACTATACAATGACCAAAAGTATTTTCATTTTTCACGTGAACATCACCTCACACTTCGTCTTGTGTGAATCAGACCGGTGTAGTCAATTCACACTTATATCTTGAGTACAAATACCTTTCTACATTATTGATTTTTTGTGTACAACAGGATTGTACGTTCACACAAGTTTTTTGTCCTTAGTAAAATGTTTGTTTATTTTATTCACAACGTTTCAGGTGGCATACAAGAACGGATGATGCCAGGTAAACCTGGTGAAATGTTGTGAATAAAATATACAAAAGTTTTTACCAATAAAAACTTGTGTGAATTTTAAAAATATAGTTCTTTGTAATACGTACGTTTTACCAAAAGCTTGCCACATTTTGTGTAGATACACTTAGTAAATTCAGAATTATTTTCAGTATTCCATCTCCAATATGGAGCCAGTACAAAGTACCAAACCTATGCAGAATTGGTTAATATTTATATGATAATGAGGAATGAAAGACCATGAAAATGAAGTTGAAGGATTGAAGTTACGTACCTATGAGAAAAACTTGACTGGGAATATTTTTTGTGGAACATGCATTGAGGATTCTTGTCGAAACTGTGAAGTATTTTGTGAGATCAACAGAAGCATAGGGTATATGCAGAGCAGTAGCATTAAATCTTTGAAAAGGAATTTTGAGTATCATTATTTTATTTTTCAACTGTGCAGTGGGTTTTCTAAAGACTTCTTATTCAGTATGATATTTGTAAAAAAGCAGATTAGTAGCATAGCTTTTACTTAGCATTCAGGTAGAAAAGTTATTTCCAGATTACGTGGGTTCAAGTTTTGGACTCTTTTTTTTTTTTTTTTTTTAACGTACGGTGCGGTTACTTTTGCAAACATTGTATGAATTTTCTTTTTTTACCAGTTTTAATATCTTCCTTTTTCTTGAATAGCACCTATGGTGTCTCAGGATGTTGAATAAAGTCTGCATTTTTGTTGCTTTTGCTATTCAGTGTGTGCTCTTTTATTGTGAATAACTGACACCGTATTATTCAGTATCCACAATTGTTGTTGATTTATGGTCTTTAATAACCTTTTAACCAAAATTGGTCGGTGTTTTAATGTTATCAAAATATAACTATTTCTGCAGAAGTTCTTTCAAGTTACAAACTTCAGTTTTGTACAGTAAGCTTCACATTTATAATCTTCATAACACAAAGATCGAATTTTGTTTTTCTTAGGTTCATGCCATTCCATTGCGTTCTAGCTGGGTCATGACCTGTGCCTACGCTTCATCGGGCAGTTACGTTGCCTGTGGTGGGCTTGACAACATCTGTTCTATCTACAGCCTTAAGACTAGGGAAGGCAATGTGCGAGTCAGCAGGGAGCTACCTGGCCACACAGGGTACCTCTCTTGCTGTCGATTTCTAGATGACAACCAAATAGTAACAAGTTCTGGAGACATGACATGGTAATTAGACTCACAGTTTCTATAGGCAGATTGCATCTAAAGTAACTACATCTTAAACATTCAAAAGTAGTGTTATTAAGACAATAAAAGCGATTTATTTAACTAATGAACATAATTTCGTTAAATTGATTCAATCGTTACTTAGCTCAAAATCGTAAATTTCCAATTCAATTGATTTAAACTGTTGAATAGCTAAAAAGAATGAGAATGAACACCAGCCTCCTATGATAGTGTTATAATACGGGCCCATCCGCAAGATTTTTTTTTTTGAGGGGGGGGGGGTACAAAACTTTAGATTTTGCCCCAGTGTATTCTGGTTGCTGAGAACAGCGAGGCTACCCCCCTAGGAAAACTTTGTATAGGTTTTGATTTCTTAATTAAAGTTACAAAGGTTCTAAAGAGTCCTTTATTCTTTATTGCTACTGTGTTCCATTTTGAAGAAATCCTCTTTCGATAAAAGCTCTGAGGAGTAAGTCTGAGGACTTTATAATGCTAAAAATCGATACTCTCAACATGTGCAGCACAGATAGCCCATTGTGTAGCTTTGTGTTTAACAACAAATAAAAATAAAATTGATACTAGTGATGATTTTTCTGCCTATTTTTTGCACGAAGAATTCTTTAATTAATTTACTTGTTTCCAAGTGATATATAAATTTAGATAAGGTGTATGTTTACTGATTTCATTTGTAGCTATCATTTTGTTGCTCTTCTTATGTTGAAATGACTAAAGATTTGTACTCCACACATTTTTTAGTGCACTGTGGGATATAGAAACAGGTCAGCAGTGCACCTCGTTCACAGGACACACTGGAGATGTGATGTCTCTTTCACTGTCACCCGATATGAAGACTTTTGTCTCTGGAGCCTGTGATGCTTCTTCTAAAGTAAGACACTGTAATGATTAAAATGTGTTATTATTTAACTGTGGTTCACTTCAAAAATGGCTGGCTAAAGAACTGGAACACTGGCTGTAATTATAGACAGATGATCGTGCCAGAAACTCTTTCTGCTCTTGCGATATAAGGAAACAGTCAGTCAGTATAATTTGATTGTTGTTGTTTTATAATATATATAGGAAATTATCCATTACACAGACTGCCATGGTGTTACAGTACAGTGGTGTAGTCCATCTTGTAACTTTATTAACACTGCCTTGCAAAGAAGAAATTATGGTTTTGGAGAGTTTTTAATTGTTTCATGAAGAGCTAAATTAATAATAAACACACAAATAAAATACACAAGCAATAAATATATAAATTAAAAGTGAAGTCGCACAAACTGTGTAATATTTGAAATAGGTTAATTATTTCAGGTACCAGTTGATGAATTTTTCTATCATGTATAGAAGTCTACTGCTATTATATCTGGTATTAGAAGTCTACTGTTATTATATCTAGTATCAGAAGTCTACTGTTATTATATCTGGTATTAGAAGTCTACTGCTATTATATCTGGTATTAGAAGTCTACTGTTATTATATCTAGTATCAGAAGTCTACTGTTATTATATCTGGTATTAGAAGTCTACTGTTATTATATCTGGTATTAGAAGTCTACTGTTATTATATCTGGTATTAGAAGTCTACTGATATTATATCTGGTATTAGAAGTCTAATGATATTATATCTGGTATTAGAAGTCTACTGTTATTACATCTGGTATTAGAAGTCTACTGTTATTACATCTGGTATTAGAAGTCTACTGTTATTATATCTGATATTAGAAGTCTACTGATATTACATCTGGTATTAGAAGTCTACTGATATTACATCTGGTATTAGAAGTCTACTGATATTACATCTGGTATTAGAAGTCTACTGATATTACATCTGGTATTAGAAGTCTACCGTTATTACATCTGGTATTAGAAGTCTACTGGTATTTCAATATCAGTTTTTCACGTAAATCATTAACTGCCGACTAAAGTCACTTAATGAAATTATAAAACTAGATTTTTTAATGATATATACCATGTTTCATCAGAATTTATAAATCGTAAACTTAATTACTGCAGTTGTTTTAAATCCAGTCATCTTACCTCATGACATAAGATCGTGTTAAGCTACAAATCTGTACTTTAAAAGTATTATACGATTAAAGTATGTGTTGTTAGTTTTTGTCATTACATATTAGGTCACTAAGGTTTTAAATGTGGTACAGTTACTCCATGAAGTTAGTTTCAAATTCCTTTATAGTAGAAAAATTTGATAGAAGAATTAATTGATTGGATATTTTAATAAGTCAAATGGAACATTGTTAAGTTCTTTTATAAGCTGCACGAAATTATATTCTATGTTGTTGTTTTTTAGCCCTAAATTTACGAATTTACCAGACTCTGACTGGTTACATATCTGGAGTATTGTTACATCTGAGAAAATTCAGTTTTATTAAAACGTATGCTAGAATAATAGCTGTGAATTATGGCTTTCAATCTATGCAGACAAAATAATGTCGGTAATTTTTATTCACTGGGGAGTTACTTAACATTTTGTGACTAATGTATTCCATTTTCTTGACAAAAGTTGATTACTTTTTTTTCTGTGACACTTCCTGTCCTAAAATCATAGAAGATAAGTATAAACCATTATGGAAATATCAGAAGTAAGCTCAGACCACCAGTTTGGAAGTTTTATCAAAATTAGGTTTTGTTCTGGTTTTGAACTTTCTTTTTTTGATCCAAGTCAAAATGTTTCTAAAAATCAAAAGTGAAACATTATTATTGCTGGATCTGATGATGTGAAAATTTATCACCATATTTTGGGGATTTTGACTTGTTTGAATTGAGAATTCATTGTAAAAGTCTTCAAAACAGTAAGATAATATGCATTTGTTTTTGAAAGTCCTTCTTTTTTAAACTTTCAGTATAGTTTCTATAGTGTTGTCATAAATTTCGTAAGCAGCTAAAAAGTATATTATTTTGTAGCAATGAAATGTGTGCACCTGCCCAGTTTAGCTCATTTTTATTTACTGTCAATTGAATGGTTATTAAATAGTCGAACACTTTGATATTTATATTATAGTTGTGGGACATCCGTGACGGAATGTGCAAACAGACTTTTCCTGGACATGAATCAGACATCAACGCTGTCACTGTAAGTACTTTATGTTCTACTGCATTGAAAAAGATTAAACCAGATACAGTTCGATAAACTTCAACAGTTATAATGCTGTTGCTTCTTTGTTGTTTTAGAATAAATAATCTGTGATAAAAACAAACAAACTGTAATTAAATGTGACTATTGGTACATCACATTTTGGTGGTTTAAATAGCTTAGCCACTTTTCATAAATTGTTGACTACATTTTTCCTTCATCACATATTGGCACTATTAATTTCATTCTCTAGAATTCTGGGTAAAAAAACCAAGATTACAAACAGTGATGGGAAACATTAGATATTGGTATGACCTACAATTATTCTAGGTTAGGAGTGACATTTGCATCTCATGAAACCAAGATCAAACTAATGTATTTTTTCATTTAAAAATATGTT